CGCCGGTTGCGGGGGGGGCAACTTAACGGGCCGGACCGCGGCGACTACCGAGGGAGGTGAGGGGCGGGCCGGGCGGGTGTCCGAGGCAGCTGCGGCGGCGGCAGCATGGCAGGGCGGCGAGTGAACGTGAACGTGGGCGTGCTGGGCCACATCGACAGCGGCAAGACGGCGCTGGCGCGGGCGCTAAGCACCACAGCCTCCACTGCCGCCTTTGACAAGCAGCCGCAGAGCCGCGAGCGCGGCATCACGCTAGACCTGGGCTTCTCCTGCTTCTCGGTGCCGCTGCCCGCGCGCCTGCGGTCGTCTTTGCCCGAGTTCCAGGCAGCGCCCGAGGCCGAGCCCGAGGCTGGCGAGCCACTGCTTCAGGTCACGCTGGTCGACTGCCCCGGGCACGCCTCCCTCATCCGGACCATCATCGGCGGTGAGCGCGGGCCGGGGCGGGAGCCGGGCTCAGGGATGCGGACGGAGCGGCCGGGCTCCGTGTCCGAATTCGCTCGAGCCTATGCCGGGAAGGGAAATCGCCCCACCTCATTGGTGGGGCCCCTGAGGCCCCAAGAGGCGGACGTGACTTGCCCAGGGCCCCGCAGCAAGCGAGCGGAGGCTTTGAGATTCGAACTCAAGGCCAGCTGATATGGAAGCTTTTCCCATCCAGCACTACCAGCAAGGTGCTTTCCTTAAAAAAAAAAATCAAAAAATTCCTACCAAATGTGTTTATCATACATGGTCAAGTAAAGAAAACTCAAAAGCTACAAAAAGGGTATGCATACAAAGGCTGTCACCATTCACCTGTCCTTTGATCTCCTGATTACCGTTCCTAGAGCCAACCGCTGCTACCAGTTTTTGTATATCATTTCAGAAAGGCTCCATGTCAATACAAGCATATCTCTGCATATGTGTAAATCCCTCTTTCCGTCTTCCTTTTAGACACGATTTCACTCAACACTGTGTCTGGAGAGTGCCCCATATCTGTACACATAAAGCTACGTCATTCTTTTTAAAGCTCACATAGGATTCCATTGCACACTTGTACCAACATTTTCTTTTTCTTTTTTCTTTTTTTTTTTTGGAGACAGTCTCATTCTGTCGCCCAGCCTGGAGTGCAGTGGCACGATTTCGGCTCACTGCAACTTCTGCCTCCTGGGTTCAAGCGATTCTCCTGCCTCAGCCTCCTGAGTAGCTGGGATTACACGTGCGCGCCACCACGCCCGGCTAATTTTTTTGTATTTTTAGTAGAGACGGGTTTCACCATGATGGTCAGGTTGGTCAGATGGACTCCTGACTTCATGATCCGTCCACCTTGGCCTCCCAAAGTGCTGGGATTACGGGCGTGAGCCACCACGCCCGGCCTGTACCAACATTTTCTAAACAAATCTTTTAATGATGGACGTTTATGTTGTTTCCAGTATTTGCAAACCATGTTGCAGTGAATATTCTAGAACAGAAGTCTTTGGTATGTTCGTATATATGTAGGGTAATAGAACTAACTGGCTGGGGCAAGGGGCATGTGTGTTTTTGGTCGTGGTGGGTACTGCCAAAATGCCCTCCAAAGAGGTACCCTTAATTTTTAATTATGCATGTAATACATGAATATATGCCACTTGTGAAGAAATAGAACATCACAAATAAGGCAAACATTCCCTTACCCACTCCTCTGTCCTAAATTCTGCACCCCTTCCATCTCTGCAAATGAAAAGACTACTATTTTTTTTTTTTCTGAGATGGAATCTCGCTCTATTACCAGGCTGGAGTGCAGTGGTGTGATGTCGGCTCACTGCAACCTCTGCTTCCCAGGTTCAAGCGATTCTCCTTCCTCAGCCTCCCGAGTAGCTGAGACTACAGGTGTGTGCCACCATGCCTGGCTAGTTTTTGTATTTTTAGTAGAGATGAGGTTTCGCCATGTTGGCCAAGATGGTCTTGATCTCGACCTCGTGATGCACCTGTCTTGGCCTCCCAAGTGTTGGGATTACAAGCATGAGCCACTGCGCCTGGCTGAAAAGACCATTATTAGACCTTTGTGGATGATTTTTCCAAGCCCATTTAACTCCACTTAAATATATGGATAGAACTTTAAACATATTTTTAGAAAAAAAGATACAATAATATAAACACGTGGTATAAAAGGGTATATAGCTAAAGAAGTATACTTTTTACTGCTGACCCCAGTACCTGATTACCTTTCTATTCACATTTCCTTGTGTTTCCTTCCAGCAATATTCTATATGCTACACATGGGAATATATATCGGGCAGGTGGTAATTGGCTTGGTGGCAGATGGCCTCATTGGTCACTGGGCATTCTGGGTCCCAGCTATAATGATGAGCTTATTAAGTATAGTACTTCATCTTTGTTACCTCCCAACTGTTTCATGTTACAGGCAGTCTGAGATCATTTCCCCATTTTACAGTAGAGGAAATAGAAGTTTGAAGAAGTAAAGGGACTTGCCCAGGGTCACAGTATCTAAAGTCTTCTCCTCAATCCATGTTTCGGTCAGGTGAATATTAAGGGGCACACGATTCTCTACCCATTCCTCCCCATCCCCTTATAACTGAATTCTGTTTGGTCACATCAAAATACATTTTAGGACATGGACTCTGAGCCAGTCCAGACTGGAGGTGGAAGGCAAAGGTTAAAAAATGAGACGGCAAGTTTTTAGTGTTTTCTAGTAAATAGGGTAGATGAGTGGTGAAGGACATACTTTTGGAGTCAGACAAAACTGGGCTTGAAGCCTAGCTTTCTTCCTTAGCTGTAAGACCTTTGAACCTAATTCTGGACCTTGCTTCAACTGGAAGATAGTGGTAACTACACAACTATTTATTGGCTTGACTTTTCTTGTGTATTTGCTACTTACCAGGCAAACCCTGCAAGGAGCGTGGTGGTTACCATTTAATAGTTGAGAAAATTGGGACTTAGGGAGGCAGCTGGTTAGTGAAACAGTCCAGGTCTGCCTGACTCCAAAGCTGGAGTACTTTGCATGCTTCCCCAGGTTACCCTATAGTTTCCCCATCCCCTTCCAACATACGTGCATACCTCATGTTATTGTGCTTCACTTGATTGTACTTTGCAGATAGTGGTTTTTTACAAATCGAAAGTTCAAGGCAACCCAACAGCATGTGCTCACTTTGTGTCTCTATGCCACGTTTGGGTTATTCTTAACAATATTTCAAACTTTTCATCAAATATTAAGCACCAAACATTTCACTTGATTTCAAATACATGTTATCTGTTAATGGTGATCTGGGATCAGTGATCTTTGATGTTACTATTATAATTTTGAAGTGCGACAAACAATGCTTATGTAAGGCAGCAAACCTAATAAATGTTGTGTGTGTTCTGACTGCTCTACCTCCTGGCTTTTCCCCTGTCTGTCTCTCTCTTCTCAGGCCTCCCTATTCCCTGAGACACAACAATATTAAAATTCATCCAGTTAATAGCCTTTATGTGTTCAAGGGAAAGGAAGAGTTGCAAGTCTCTCACTTTAAATAAAAAGTTAGAAGTGATTTAAGCTTAGTGACGAACGCAATGTTGAAGGCTGAGATAGGCTGAAAGCAAGGCCTGTTACACCAAACAGCCAAGTTTGGATGCAAAAGAAAGGTTCCTGAAGGAAATTAAAAGTGCTACTGTAGTGAACACACAGATGATAAGAAAGCAAGACAGCTCTATTGCTTTTATAAAGAAAGTTTTAGTGGTCTGGATAGAAAAACAAACCAGCTACCACATTCCCTTAAGTTGAAGCCTAATCCAGAGCAAGGCCCTAACTCTTCAATTCTGTGAAGGCTGAGGGAGGTAAGAAAGCTGCAGAAGAAAAATTTGAAGCTAACGGAGGTTGGTTCATGAGGTTTGAGGAAAGAGGCCATCTCCAGAACATAAATGTATAAGATGAAGCAACAAAAAATGTATAAGATGAAGCAACAAGTGCTGATAGAGGAGCTGCAGCAAGTTATCCAGGAGATCTAGCTAAGATCATTGATGAGGGTGAGTACTAAACAGATTTTCACTGTAGGTGCAACAGCCTTATATGGAGAAGATGGTATGTAGGACTTTCATAGCTACAGAGAAGTCAATGATTGGGTACAAAGCTTCAAAGGACAGGCTGACTCTTGTTAGGGGCTAATGCAGCTGAAGCCATTGCTCACTGACCATTCCAAAAATCCTAGGGCCCTTAAGAATTATGCTGAATTTACTCAGCCTATGCTCTTGAAATGGCACAGCACAGCCTGGATGACAGCACCTGTTTATAGCATGGTTTACTGAATATTTTAAGCCCACTGTTGAGACCTACTGCTTAGAAAAAAGACTCCTTTCAAAATATTACTGATTGTTGATAATGTACCTGGTCACTTAATGGCTCTGATGGAGATATACAAAGAGATTAATTTGTTATCATGCTTGCTAACACAACATCCATTCTGCAGTGTATGGGTCAAGGAGTAATTTTGACTTTCAGGTCTTATTATTTAAGAAATATATTTTATAAGGCCATAACTGCTCTAGATAGTGATTCCTCTGATGGATCTGGACAAAGTAAATTGAAAACCTTCTGGAAAGGATTTATCATTCTAGATGCCATAAAGAACATTTGTGATTCATGGGAGGAGGTAAAAATATCAACATTAACAATAATTTGGAAGAAGTTGATTCCAACCCTTATGGAATTCCAACCCTTAAGTCTTGAACTGAGGGGTTCAAGACTTCAGTGGAGCAAGTCACTGCAAATGTGGTGGAAATAGCAAGAGAGTTAGAATGAGAAGTGGTGCCTGAGGATGTGACTGAATTGCTGAGATCTCATGATCGATCTTGAGTGGATGAGGAGTTGCTTCTTGTGCATGAGCAAAGAAAGTGGTTTCTTGAGATGGAATCTACTGGTGAAGATGCTGTAAACATTGTTGAAATGACAACAAAGGATTTAGAATATTATGTAAACTTAGTTGATAAAGCAGTGGCAAGATTTGAGAGGACTGACTCCAGTTTTGAGAGCAATTCTGTGAGTAAAATGCTATCAAACAGCTTCACATGCTACAGATAAATTTTTATAAAAGGAAGAGTCAACTGTTGTGGCAAACTTCATTGTCTTATTTCAGTAAATTGCCACAGTCACCCCAGTCTTCTTCAACTACCACCCTGATCAGTCAGCAACCATCAACATTGAGGCAAGACCCTCCACCAGCAAAAAGATTATGACTTGCTGAAGATTCAGTAATCATTAGCATTTTTTAGCAATGAAGTATTTTAAAATTAAGGAATGTTTATTGCTTTTTGAGACATACTGCTATTGCATACTTAATTGACGAAATGTCATGTAAACATAACTTTTATACATATTGGGAAATCAAAAAATTTGATTTGCTTTATTGTGATATTCACTGTGCTGCAGTGGTCTGGAACTGAATGCACAATATCTTTGAGGTGTGCTTCAATTATAGGGAAACTTCATATTGCAAAAAGTTTCAGCATTTGCCTGGTCCTATATAACCAATTGTAATTCCCCAAAGAATTTGGCAAGTTTTTTCTTTAGACTAAAACTGTAGAAGAAGAACTTATTTTTGTATGTACATTGTTGCTCATCTTTTGTCTCATCTCCGGAGTAGGGAGATTTATCTTCTTAAAATGTGGCCTGAGTGCAATGGAATGCTGAGACCAAGGCTGCTACCATTCTTCCTTGAATAGATCAGAGGTCCACCTTCCTTTTCAGGGAATTGAGAAAAAACTATTTTTTTCTTGTAAAGGGAAAGTGTTCCCCATTGAGTGCCTGCTCTGGCCCAGGCCTGTTGCCAGGAACTTGCATCTATGCAACCACCTTGCATGATGGGAGTGTTAGTTAGCCTTACTTCTCAGATGAGGAAACCCAAGCAAAGTGCCTTGGACTGGTGTTGGAACCTAACTCTGCCACCCCTAACCTGGATCTGGCTAATACCTGCAGTTCACTTCATGGTCCACAAACTCGTGGGCATCTTTGCCTTCTTGAAATGACCCCCAAGGCCATCCTGGCTTATGGCACCTGGACTTCTACAGTTCTGCCCCCTGCCTGCTTATTCTGCTCCCTCTGATTCATTCTCTGCACAGTGGGCATTGCTCTCCTTTTACAAGTGTTCATCAGATCATGTCAACCCTACACTTGACAAGACTTTCCAGTGAGTTCTCATTGTGCTTGGAGTAAAATCCAGCCTCTTTATGGCCGATAGGACAATGGTCTGGCTCTGCTTTCCTCCAATCCCATCAAGGATCCCATCAACGACTCCTCCCCCTTCTGACCTTCAGTCACACTGGCCTCATTTCTCTTCCTCCAGTGGGCCCAGCGGCTGCTTCCCTTAGGATATTTGCACCTGTTGTTGCCTCTGTTTGGTATGTCTGGCTCCTTAAGTCTCTGCTTGAATGGCACCTCCTTAGCGGCCTCTCCTGCCCCACCTATCTAAAGTTCTCTTCAACCCTCACCCCCTCATACTTTCTCATGTCCCTGTTTCATTGCTCCAGCAGCCCTTTTCACTACCTGATGTTCTTCATGTGTTTACTTGTCGAGTGTCTGTCCTCTGCTAGAATGTGAGCTCCATGAGACCAGAGCAGGAACCTTATCTGTCTCATTCACCAGTGTTCTCAGTGTTTGGGCCAGAGCCTGGCATAGGATAGGTATTCAGTAAGTTCTGGATGAATGAAGCCTGTGTACCAGCTCTTGGGCTAGTCAGTTTTAGTGAGCAGAGAACCTTCTTTGTGGGTTAGTGGACAGAAGGCAACTAGCTTAGGGCCTGGCCTGTAGTGAATTATGCAGGTTGGTTCTTTGTCCCTCCCTTTAGGAGCTTACAGCAGAACCCAGGAGAGGACACTGCTGTGTACAAAGTGATCTTCTAGAGTTCTTTGCACAAGGGCAAAAGCAGGAGTAACTCACTTTGTTGGGGGGTGGAGTATAGGGTGCAAATGGGAAAAGGAGACCTTTCCTAGGCGAGGGCAAGGCTCTGAGCCTTAAACATGCCATTGTGTCTCAACATCAGAGATGACTGCCAGCATTTAGGCATGGCTGGAAATCGGCGTGGTGTGTGGGAGGTGTGCTAAAGATGAAGCTAGAAGGGTTGGCAGGGCCAGACCCTAGAGAATGGCCCTTAGTGTAGATTTTTCTTCAGGGTCCTGGAGCTCTTTGGAAGCCTGTTAAAGCAGGTGTGTGACATGACTGGGCTGAGCTTTTGATAGAAAGTTGCAGGATTTTTGGGCAGGGATTCCCACTGGCAGCAGGTGTGATTTTCTCTTGCTGCACCTGCACCTGGCATCCCTGGGAGATTGGGCTCTTGTTAAGAGTTCCTTGCTACTGTGAAAGACTTAGACCCCCCCTGTGGAATATGTTATCTCCAGGAGTAGGAAATTTTAACAGTTGTCTGAGTTCTGTGATGATATCTCTGAAGTTTAATGTATCTTAAATTAAAGCTGGCTCTAATTCCACTGTGTGCGCGCACGCGCACACACACACACACACACACACGAATCCTATCTTAGAGAAAATTGAGGTTTATCTCCCTTGATCCATGTGGCCACAGATAAAACTAAGTGGTGCTGTGGGGTTAACAGTGATAATAGTACTTACTATTATTTAGTGCTTGTCCGTATGCTGTTTTTTTGATTTGTTTGTTTAATTTTCACACGATTCCTGGGAGGTAATAGTTGATATTCCCATTTTATAGATGAAAGAAACCATGGCTCAGAGGTCAGGGAACCCGGTTAATAAGTGTCAGAACTAGGTTTGAACCCACATTGATCTGACTGCACAGCCCATACGCTGGCATTCTCAGTGCGAATGAAAAAGTGTACCCGTCCATTCCAGCCCCCTGTAGTGGTTCAGAGCAGTATTTTTCTTGAATCCATTTTAGAGTATAAATCTTTCAGGGTTACAACTTCAAAAAGATTCAGTAATGTATGTTTTAAAGACTTGGGTAGGGGTGAGGGACTTAGACTCATCCTCAATCTAACTCTGGCAGGACAGAGGAGGGCTGAAAAATGCTGGTATCTTGGCTTGGCAATTTATAGTCCTCTGGTGGCTGCGAGGATTAACAGTGTATTGTCTCCCAGTCTTTTGTTTCGGTTGTTAATGAACAGCACTGCAACTTGTCGCCTGGACCTCTTGCCTTCTGTACACACCATTTTAGCAGTATCTCCTGTGTGTCTCTGACCCTCTCTGAGCCCTCCCTGCCCAGAGCTGAGGAGGGCTGCAAAAGACTTCTAAGTCTGACTCAGGTTACTCTCCTTGGAGAGAAACATCCAAGAGCCTATGAGATTTTTGTCTCTGCAGCCTGGAGAGAACATTCTTTGTAAAACTTAAGCTACTTTGCCTTTTCTGTTTTTCCAGCTTTCTGTGTTCTTGGTGCCCATGTAGAGAAGGCTCTTCTCCTTTTATCTATTTTATTGAGGTGTGTGCCCTTCATTCTTTCTGCAGATGCCCTCTCTGGACTCATAAATGAAACAAGGGGTTCATGTGTGTGAATGAATTTCAACCAGATTTTTTTTATGATACCCATTAAGCATCTGCACATATCTTGCTCCAGGAAAGCAACCTGCTCCAGGCAGAAATAACATCCTGGGGGCTTGGCCAGGTAGGCCTTGGTGTCCTTGAGGAATTTGGGTGTTACTCTAATGCCAAAGCAAACAAACCAAAGGTCACTTTTGGTTTTCTTTACCCCTAGTCTTTTCATGAGAATCTGTGTAGGAATATATTATGTGAAATTGTGGTAATTATGTATGTTTGTCCTAAAATACTGAGGCATATTTGAAGGAGTTCTAAGTGGAAATGCTTCCTTCAGCTTTACTTCTTTAGTTCCTAGTATCTGTCAGGCCTTAGTTCCCTGTCTCTTTGTGCCCATCCAGTGAGAGCTGTTTCTTTCTCTTCTTCACTGAAAGGTACACACCATAACTAGAAGATTCTACTCTCCAGTACTGCTTCTTCGACATCCTCTACCACCAACTAAAGCTGAGGCTGACACTGGAGTTGCTTGCCTTCATTTGCTTCAAAGACTCTTAAGTTCAATAGGAAGCCTGCCTCAGTCAGCACTAAAGTGTACCACCATTCAAGTACAAGTTTTCTTGTTTTACCTGGTACCTTATCACTCTCTGACCCCACCTGATCTCTCCATACGCTGGAGTGCCTTTAACTGGCTCCAGGAGACTCAAGTTGAGCTTTGTCTGCAGCACTTTCTCTTGGCGCTGGACAGTGGGTGACTTTGCTTTAGCTTGGGTGGCAGTGTGGGAGTACCACAACATCAGAGAGACAGCCTTGAGTTTAAATTAATGCAGAATATTTGAGCAGGAACCAACAGGAAAGAAAAATGGAAGCAGGTAGTCATATTTCATTCTGTTGGGGTACATTTTTCTTCTCATGGGGCTTGCCCTTGAGAACAAAACATATCAAATGTTAAATCAAAGAATATTTTTGTAGTCATGCTAGGAATAGAAAATAATGCAAAGACTCTGCCTTCTTGAGGCAAATATTTTGCTGGAAGGTTATAATCAAAGTCAGAAGGAAATCATAGTCACAGCTTTTGGTAAAGCTGTAATCATTTAAAATTAATTGCTTTTAAACTTTTCACTGAGCATCCCCTTTGTTTTCTATCAGCATGTCTCTTGGGTTTTTCTTCGGAATCATTCCATCCAGGTTGGAATAGGATTTGGGCAGGCATCCCAGGAAGCAACCCATAAATTAAGCCCTAAGACATATTCCCCTTTCTGTCATTCTTTTGTCCTCCTGCCTCAGCCTCCCAAAGCGAGCATATGCTTTTAAAGTTCATTCACGTTGTAGTGTAAACCAGTACTGCATTTTTTTTTTTTTTTGGTAAAAAAACCTATTTCTATTGATTTCTACTTGTGGTAAAGTACATATAACGTATAATTTGCCATCTTACGTGTATGGTGTGTGGCATGTGCTCCTCAGGCTGCTGTTGCTTTCTCTGATGTCCCTGGCCCATGGAGACATTTGGGCTGGTAGGCCTTGTTTTAAGGGCTTTTGGCAGCTTGTATAGTGGGAGAGGACCAGATGGAGCTGCATTTGCTGTTTTTCTCTACTCACTCAGAGATTCTACACATACATGTTGCTTGGCTTTGTTTTGGACGTGAGGGCAGATACACAGTTGTGCCTGTCTTCAAGGGGCTCACAGTCCCGAGTAGGGAGGAGGAAGCCAGGCAGTGCCCACAATCAGTTTAAGATGCGGAGTGGTAAGGGCCTTGATCAAGATGGGCACAGAGATGTGAGTACCTGCCTGGGGTGGCAGATAGGGAATCCTGCTGGAGGAGACACACGGCTGGGCCTGGAAGGATGACTTATGGATTTCCAGACTGAGAGATCCGGGGAACAGCCTTAGCAGAGTCCAGAGGCTTGGGAGCAACCCTGGCTAAAGAAGGGGAGTGGTCAAGGTGGCTGGCACTTGCACACAGCCGGCGTGAAAGGAGGTGAGGCCAGGTTGACTGGGTCACAGGCCAGTCCAACTGGCTTGTGGAAATTGTGAAGGATGGTTGAAATTTTACATTTTAGAAGATGGGAGGCATTCCAGCTAGAGGACTCAGAGTAAACAAGGACCCAGAGACAAAGGGAGGGCTGGAGTGTGAGTGGGGTGTCAGGCCAAGCTTCCAGAGGGTAGCCAGGACCAGATCTCAGAAGCTGGGAGAGTCTCTTCTGGGAGGAAGACTGGTAGGTTTTTAAGCTGGGAGATCCTTCTGGCAGCTTTTAGTGAGCTCCCCTGTGAGTCTGAGGAGAGGGCTGTGACAAGTGGTCCTAGGGCCTGGCATTCCTCTCCTCATTCCAGCTTCAGCTTTCTGGCCCAGCTGGCCGAGGGAGAAGAGGAAGGACACCTCAGGCAGGCAAGGCGGACACCATCAGCAGGGAAAATGGGGCTCTGGGGTTGCAGACGTGGCAGTGCTGAGCAGTGGCCAAGGGATAGTTCTGCCTCTCGGAGGGAGAGGAAAGAATGGACTTTTGAAGAACGCTTGCTGTCTGCTGGACACTGTTCTAGACCCGTGGCTCTTGCTGCATCCTCCCAACCAGTCTCCGAGGGAGGCATTTCCATCTACATTGCTCAGCTACTAGAATTGAGGCTCTGAGCAGTAGGCAGTTTGCTGCAGGGCACACAAGTAGCCAGTGCCAGGCTCTGGTTTCAGAGGCCCTGGCTTTGCCCAGGAGCTGCTCTCAGACCTTAGCACATGCCTGCTTCCATAGAAAATTGTGGCTCCTGAGGAGTACTTTATATATAAATCAAATTGTCAAAAATAGAGATTTCTGCTTCTATTCTCCCCTGGATTATTTGAGTTTTTGTCTTTTGTTAATTGGGTCTTTTATTTTCTTGTGCTGTGTGATTAGGCTCCTGCTGCTTTGAAGTGGCCTTTGTTGGGTGGGTAGGGAGGACTTAGTTAATGTGAGTGATCCTCTCTTGGCAGGAGAAAAAACAACTTTTGCTGTTGAGAGAGAAGTTGACTTTCCCTCTTTCCATATCTCTTGTGTTGTGATGATTCCTCTCTTGTCTTGAGGCCTTCAGGAAGACTAAAATAATTTCCTTTGTCTCTAACCTACTTCCTGAGGATATTTATTTGGTGCCATGCACAGGTGCTGCTTAAAGATAAACCTGACTTTTTTCTTTTAAAATTAGTGCTTGAAATTTGTTAGCATTGACCTGTCTGGCAGCAGGAACTTGCCTTGCTTGGCCTTGTGGCTACATCCTTTACCATAGATTTATTTGGGTTACTTAGAACTCCGGAGGGTCAGTGGCTTGTCCTTGGTCATTTGACATTGGCACTAGAGCTCAGTCTTCCCAGGTACATGACGGTGTGACACTTGAGGAAAAAATTGCCCTATTTGTGGTCATTTCCAGGTGAGTTTCAGGATCTTTCGCCATGAACAGTAAAGGCCCTCGGGTGTGTGTTCTCAGCATTCTCTGTGTTCTAAAAAGATGATCCAGGGCACATTCAGAAATGATCTTCAGAACTTACGCTCTAGAGAGGAAAGACTTTACGTAAGAAGGATTCCATTTCTTTAGCACTTGCTGCCTGACCTCACAGACAAGTAGACCACAGGAAGACTGGAAGGGAGCCCTGAGGTGCTTGCAGCACGCCATGTTTCCCATCAGCACCCAGCCCTTGCAGAGAGGGCTGACAGACACTTCAGCTGCGAAAAACAGTGTCTGAAAAAATTTCTGTGGTGGCTTGATCAGTACTTTCCAGCAGAACTTTCTGTGATGATAGGAATGTTCTACAGTGGCACAGTCCAACATGGCAGCCGTGAATCTCATGGCTGTTGGAGCACTTGCACTGTGGCTAGTGTAACTAAAGACTGAAATTTTAGTTTTATTTAATTTTAATTTATTTAAATTTAAATAGGCACAGGTGGCTAGTGGCTGCTGTATTTGACAGTGCAGGGCTGGATGGACTGAGGAACGGCTGGGTTCTGTGTCCCTATTGTAGATTTGGGTTTGAGCTGTCCCCTACATGTGATTTGGTTATAAGAACTGTCACCTTCCTGAGACATCCTGGCCTGGGATGACTACCACGGGCCCTCAGATTCCACCCTCTCAGCTTCATCACCTTCCTAGTGAAGGACACCTCCACTCTCCCAAGGTGTGGCCCTTGAAATGCTCCTCAGTGTGTCCTCCTCCTTCACTTGCCTCTGGATCCATCACCACGCCTTCTCCCTCCTGCTTGCTCTCTGCCCTGGCATTTTCCGTCACCGCAGCTGTGACCTGAAGACAGGCTTCTGCTAGCTCCTGGCGGGATGAGTACAGCATTCCCTCACATAGTCTCCTTGATTCCACCCCCTGCAGAAGGTATAGGGATAGAAGAGTGTTTAAAAACTACTTCCCTGTGTAGAAGGCTTTGTTTGCTCTCTGCTGGCATAAAGGCTGAACTTCTTAGCTGGCTGACGAGGCCCCTCCTGAGGGGTTGAGATCTCAGGACTCCAGGCTGAATGAACCACTTGCAGGTCTCTGGACAGACAGACCGTGCTCTCTCATGCTGCATATTCTGGCTATGTGCACTTTTCTGGGAAGAATCATTGTCCACCGTTCTCAGTCTAGATAAGGTCACCCTCATTTGAGGGCCCGTAACATCCTACACATACCCCTATGATCTCATTTTCTCCTCATCTTATGCCCTTTTCTGTTTACTGGATTATGTTTTCCACTGGACTTGATCCATTTGAGGATAGGGGCCTGTTACCATTCAATTCTATGTCCAAGGACCCAGGACAGGCCTTGGCACAGAGTAAATATTTGGTGCATGCATATCGGAATGAATGAATTAATGAAGAGGTCATTTCCCACTGCCTGCACCAATTACCCATGCTCTTATGGTGCTTTAAACAACTGGCCAAATAGAGTTCAACAGTGGAGAAAACCTGCCTTGAGGTTAGACAAGTTAATCTTTCAATGGAAATTCAATCCTCATATTTCATTTTCAGGCCACTTTGCGTAGCAAAGTAGTTTAACTCATAGCAGATTTCTGCCGTGCTGATGGTTAATTTCATGGCCCACAGAGGGTCAGCACACTAATGCCGGGAACACGGCGACCTCAGTGCAGCTCACCGCACACAGTGAGGGCCCAGCGGCCCTGTTGTTTTAGAGAAGCAGTTCTCAAACATCCTTCTGATTTTGAGTTAACAGGGGTGACCCTTTCAAGAACATTTTTAAAAGCTATAACATAGATCCCTCCCAGATCGTATATTTTCCTTTCTCCATGCAGTTCAAAGGGCCTCAGTTGTCTCATAGGTTTTTGCCGGCAATCTTCAGCTTGACCCTGGTTGTTTAAATCTGCCGGAGGAAATTTGAACAAACTTGTACTTTGGTAATTCTTCTGCCTCTGTGAACCTTTAACCTTAGGGTTTCTTTTCGAGCCAGGGCTGCATTGTCACCAGTCGTCCCTGCTGGGGCTTTTCAAAGGGCATTGTCTAGGGCGTCTGTTTTCACTTTGCTACTGGAGTTCTTTTGAGGAAGGGTATTAATTCAGACCTGATTCTGAGACAGGACGAGCACTTTTAAACTTGCCCCAGAGCTTGGGGATGGGGAAATGAGCGTAATGCAAGCCTGTGGCTGATGCCAGTAATTGTTCTGCAAATAGTCTGTCAGGGTGAAGGGAGAAGAGGCCCTCCAGAGGCACAGGGGTGTGCCAGCTGTCCAGTGGGAGGCCACAGCTTTGCCCAGGGTTTGTTGACTACATGATGAAAAGAGGTCACTGTCTCTGATCACCAGGTTCTGGGTCCAGAGTTCCTCCTGAATATAAAATTCCTGGAGTGCCAGGTTGCTAGGAACCTGGGAGGCCAGAGGTGAACCTGGGGTCCATATACCATTACCAAGTGCTTGCGT